AAAATCAGTCTGTATATGCAGTGAAGCATGCTTGTTATACTCACTGTGGTACCTAAGGGGTTAATCCTCCGCATTGTGTAAAAAAAGGCTGTTTGATCCTGTCTTCTTTGATCCTCCCCTTCTTATATGGTCTCCAATTCATCTGCTGATAGAACAGAGCCTTGGGGGCAAGCTGCACATGCTCAGTTTGGTGTGTATTTCTAGACAGTTCTTTGTTTGATTGTTTTTTCTCTTGGGAGAGAGCATGTGATCTGCACAGAGCCAATCAGCGCTGTCCAGACAAAGAGTCAGGGGTTATGCAGCCACATAGGACAATCAAGGAAGAATGAAAACTCCTCCTACAAGCTTTAATGTGTGCTCTGCTGGACACTGATAGAAGTCACAAGACTGCTCTAACTGCTGATGAGAAAAGGCAATCAGCAGTTTATAGTTGCTAAAATAATTGCATTTCCATGTTCTGTGTTTTGTGAGAGACCAGTTTTAACAAATGCAGAGTCCTGGGTTTAGTAACACTTTAACTCCACACTTTTAGCTTCTCACAGGGTGCACCTGAAGCTGCAACAATTTGGACAGAGCCCACCTCATTTCCTGGCTGGAGGATGTCCATCATCATTTAGCTCTTTCTTCCCAAGTCTTACTGCCTCTTGCCCACCTTTTTTTCATTCATTAGATTTCAGTTCAGTTCATGGAGGCTCATCATCATATGTGGGTGTTATTCATGCAAATGCAGTCTGCCAAGGAACAATCACTCTTCCAGATTGACATCCACCCATCAAGACATTTCCATATTTGCATAACTCCCCTCCAGAGCCAGAGCACTGCTTGCATTGGGGCTGAAGGCTTTTGAGAGGTGTACTGAAGCGGCATGCTGTGATGTTTTCAGGAAGGTATGTTTAGCATCCATGCCAGCCAGCCATGCCATGCCAAAGTAAAAAAAAAAAAAATTCATCAGATGCTCTGTTTAAATGTCTTGTCTGGAGTTTGGCTTGAGCCTATTAGGCTGGAGCTCTACTTTAAGCGATTGTAGCAGAAATCTTAGCTTTCTCTGCTCCTGCCTGACATTTATTCCTCTGAAGAGGGTGACATGTCTAAAGGAAGATGTAAAATCTCCCTCTAGCACCCGGGGTGGATTCTATCAGGGCTGACACTCTGCATTACATCTAGTAGGTCAGCTTCAATGATGTGTTACTGCACAGCGGAGAGTTTTGGCTAAGGAAGATAAAGAGGAAATCGGTCAAACCACATAATTAATCTCCAGTAGAAGAAAGTGGACAGCAGTGAAACGTTCAGATCTAGATTAACATGACATCAAAGCTGCCCGAGAAGTGATCCAAGTTATTCCTGACTTGCTGTGTTAAGCAGAATGAAAGATTATACATGGACATTGCGAGGAAGTGAAGACTTCGTGCCTAAGAGGATAACAGACCTCCGCCTGAAAAGGGGGCCTGTTCAGAAAGGATCAGAATCAATTGTATGCACATTCTTTTGGTAATACATCGATTCAGAGCGGCTGTCTCCAAACTATACTGTATGAGGGCCACATTGTATATGCAATAATTGCTGGTCGAAAAAAAAAAAAATCTGTTTTATAAATTCCTACTGTACATCAGGGTCCCCATCAGAGTCCCCCCACCCCTTACATTAGGGTCCTCATCCGATTCACCCCTTTCATTAGGATCCCCATTAGAGCCCCCCCTTTACTTTACAACCCTACATCAGGGTCCCATCAGAGTTCCCCCATACCACTGTAAGACTTATCACATACTGACTGTAGCAACAGGACGGGAGCTGGGAGACAGAGCAGGTCTGGATGGAGGAAACAATGCTGGGACAAGCACATCATTGGTTGCTAGGAAGCTGGCGGGAACTTGCATTAGAGGCTACTGGGGGAAAGGGGGGGCAAACACGGAGAGCACAGGTGTCCCCTGCTGACCAGAATCCTCAATCTGTGCACATTAAAGATACACCATTGACTCTAGCTGTGGACCATTTGAAATCTTGTAGTGGGCTGGATCTGTTTGGAGACCCTGATTTAGAGTTGCTTGTTTAAATTGTCACTTTCCTTCCCAATGTGGCAAAAAAAACCCCAAAACACTACAAATTAACTATTTTGCTTATAATCATCTCACAGATACATTGTCAGCAAGGAACAACATGTATTTAGCCTGTCCCAGAGACCCAGGTATTTCCCAATAGGTTCTACCATCTTGCCCTTTGTACAGCATAAGAGCTTCTGTAAACAGGCTTTTGTTGGGGTTAGATTTCCTCCCCCTCCCCATATTTGTAAATGTAAAAGTCGCTTAGGAGGTGAGAAGCTCCTGTGATGGAACTCAAATGTCTCAAACTGATCTTTGATCTTGAAATTAAGCCCATTTGTCATTCAAAGGTTTAATAAAGCACAATAAGAAATACCTTCTGTACACAGGCTTTTGTTGACATTGGATTATATATAACTCAATGTGCATATAAAAGCCACTTAGAAGGTGGGAATCTTCTGTGATGAAACTCAAGTGGCTCAAGTGGCCGAAAGGCTTCACTGCCAGTTTCCCTTGCATAAGATGCCGGTACCTGCACCTGAAGAATTGGCTCGGGTGAGGACATCTCTGGATCCCTAGACAGGTACGTGTCCTTATATTAAAAGTCAGCAGCCACAGTATTTGTAGGCACTGACTTTTTTTTGTGGGGCGACTGGAGCTCCTCTTTAAGACTTCTTTCACAGGGGGGCGAGCCGATCAGGACAGCCTGACAGTTTTTTCAGGCAGACCTGATTTGACAGTTAATGTATTCCTATTGACTGGCGGATGTAAAAGGCCTTGTGTCCATTTACAGCTGTCTACCTGCAATCCGATCTGCTTACACCCAACCAACCATAGAACAGAGCGGACTGTGTCCATGTCCGCTCTGCATAAGCGGAGTACATCAGTTTTTACATCCACTACCAATGCAAAACAGATGCAAAAACGGACTGTTTGTCCTTTTACATACGTTTTTCTGTCTGTTCGTTTTGTTATATTGAAAGAAAAATATGGCTTTGATCCATTAAAAAAAACTTGATGTTGACGGATGCTGATGTAAATGGATGATCATCCATTTTCATCTGTTTTTCCTTAGAGATGTATTGATATCCATTTTTTCATCTGTCAACGGATGGATGAAAAAACGGACAAACAAGAGTGCCCATGTGGAAGGGGCCTAAAATAAAGATAATGTGATATTCAAGACATATTGATATAGATAAGCCATGTGGTACTATGCAGAGGTGTTAAGGGGAACCGAGATTTGTTTATCACTCCTGGTTGTGGTTGAGAAAAAGAGTTAGCAGGTTTTTTTTTCATTTGCATTTATCTTGTAGCCCTGATGAAGAGGAAGTGCATTTTGCCCGAAACATGTTGGCTTTTTGAACCAGTTGGACTCCTTTATGAATTTGGTCTGGTGCTCCTTCTGTTGGTTTTATGGTCTGAGTGATGCACATTTGTATTAGCAACAGAAAGTGGTGTACAGATAGTTTTTATAGAATGTCATTTGGTTTTAGGGGTTAATTTTCCAAAGAGGCATGTTCTCAGTATGACATCAAGAGTAGACATCCTTCTCTTACACCTTGTGTATTTATGTAATGCACAGTCACTAATGTATTAATCCTTTGGACAATCCTCTTTATGTATAACATATGGGCGCTGTAATTTGCAGGGATGGTTTTCTGACACCTGGATTGTATTATTACAACTGCACTGGATGGAAAATTGGAAGCAGTTTCCTAACGAACGTTTGCAGCAGGCCTGACTTGTAATCAGTGGATGTCTACATCGGCTGGCCATGTCCAGCAGATGAGACAGAAGAGCAAGTGTTCAGGATTTGGCGGGAGAGAGGCCAAGGTCTGACATTTAGCACGCCACTGATCTCAGACAAGAATAATTACAGATTTTGCAGAATTCTCCTTGAGGACCTATCACATATGCAGCAAAGGCCTACGTGCAATTAAAAGCAGGCTGTAACCAGGGTTGGGCAAATTCCATGTGGATGGTGTACTTGGCACTTTGCAAGAGTTTTTCTGTTGTCTGTAAAAGTATCTTGGTTTCTTTCAGCTTTATACTGCATCTTGAAGCTTGTTTAGATTTCAGTGTTTGAAGTACACCATGTAAAAGAAAATCATGATAGGTCAGCACTAAATAACAGTATCATAGCATATGATATCCTATCACCATCTCTTGTGTTTGATGTTTTTACGAGCGTTTGCTGTGCCTGGACCCTAAATTTATCTACTGTCTTCTAGATAGGGCTCAAGGGACACATGCATACATTAAGTCCATCCTAGCCTATAACTGTGTTTCTTTGACATTGAGTTATAGCTGTATAGTTCTTTATGTGCAGGTCCTCTTCGTCGGCCATTGATGGAACAATTTTCTTTCCTGCAACCACGTGTTGCACTCCCTCTCCCCTGTTACAGTAGCTCTCAGCTCAGTGATGTGATTGAGAAGATAGTGGATCACACCTGTTTGGAGGTTTTAGAGCTTGTTCTTCTGATGATGGGGGCGAGCAGTAACAGCTGGGAGTGTCTTGGAAACATCCTAGCAACAAATCAGAACGGGGTGATGCCATCTCTGGAAGTTTTCTGCCATGCTTCGGGAGGTTTGTAACTGGCCTACACCTATAGCAAGGGCATTATTCAACCATAGTCAAAGCTGCACAGTTTGTTTTTATCTGCATAGACAGCTGAAAGTGAACTAACCCTTTTAAACCTGAACTGCAAAAGCATAATGACAATATGAATCTGATTGGTTGCTCTAGGGCAGCACACATTTCGATAGGTGGGTATTTTTGTCAGTTCACTTTCCAAGTCCTTTCCAGGAAACTATAGTTGACAGAGTGGCTATGTTTTTGAAATTGCATTGCGGTTATGTTGTGGTCAGTTTAGATTCAGTTCATTTTGAGTGAAGTTTTCCTTTTAAATGTATGAAATTGCAGCCTGATTTTAACAAATGTCCTTATTTTTATTTGTTTGCAGATATGGAAGAGTTGATAGTAGAGCTGCGATTGTTTCTACAACTACTGGACCATGAATATCTCACCACCACTGTGAAGGAGAAGAAGACTGTGATAAGTAACATTCTGCAAAGGATACAGTTATCCAAAGGTTAGTTGGACAGGCCAAGAGGAGCTTGCGCCATTGTAAACCCAGCAGGCCTCCAGTCCGCTGATGAGGTGAAACCGCCATTACTGTTATGACAACTATGTACAGTTCATATAAATGTCATCACCAGGATATATCGGCAGATAGTTTCATGCCATAGCTTGAGCACAGCAGTGTAACATTTCATAGTATTTTTAAAGAAAATGTCTACTGAACTGTTAAAGCTTTTTTGGCTGTACTCCTCCTATGGATCACAGGAGTACAGTTAATTCTGCATCCCTGTGACCACTTTTCACAGCCGTTTTCAACATCACAGAGCTGGTCCAGGCTCTAAAAAGATCCCGATTATATGGTCAGGATCTACCCAGATGCCTGGACCGATGTGACCGTTTTTCACAGCCATTCAACATCACTGAGCTGGTCCAGGCTCTAAAAAGATCCCAACCATATGGTCAGGATCCACCCAGATGCCTGGACCGATGTGACCGTTTTTCACAGCCATTCAACATCACTGAGCTGGCCCAGGCTCTAAAAAGTTCCCAACCATATGGTCAGGATCCACCCAGATGCCTGGACCAGCAAGACTGAATCAGCTGGTTCTGCCCCCTCCACAGCCCGATGCTTCAGTGAGCACTGGATTGGCTAAGCAGAAAGCCGGTGACTGACCGTTACCAGCCTTCTGTAGCGTGAGGTCCGAGAGATGAGTGATCAGTGGTGTTTGATCTCTCAGTTCACGGTCTTAGAGCCAGCAGGGAACAGATGCAGCATGGACCGATGCTTCATCCACCTAGGTGAGTATATCTTTTTTTTTTTTAAATTTAAACCGTAACTTCTCTTTTAGAAAGAAAAAGTGCGGCTTCATTTTTGTGACTTTCTTTAAGTTAGACTGAGGTTGGGTTCATTTCTTAATTTTCATAAATTACTGACAGCTTTGAGTAGTAAACATGTTACAAGCTTGGGCAATTTCATTCAATTGTTTGAGCAATTGGTGACAAAATGCAGAGCAGAAGTTCCTACAGTGAAAAGCGTATTTCCAAGGAACAGTAGATTCCATGATATTGGCATCTAACTTTATGTGCGAATCCTAACTGCACTGCTCATCCTCTTCTGTCTTCTGATTCTCACTATTTGTCTCTAAATGTAGTAGGTGAATATGTTGAACAATATTGTCATCATCATAGCTTAAGGGATGGGAAGGGCTTGACTTGTGCCCAGCTTGTAAGTTGACATTTAGACATGACTTTTCGTTGTAAATAACCCCATTTGCCATTTGACTTCCCTGGGTTCCTCTAGTTGTGCTTTAAAGCGAACCTGTGATTTCCCCAGGTTAAAGCGGAACTACACTGCATCTGAGGACCACAAACCAAAAATGTTTAATTCATTTTTAATATTCAAAACAAACTCACCCATCCATTCATATCTCAATGCTTTATTTTGTTGAGAAATCACTTTGAAAAACACCCCCTAGCATTGCTGGCCCTGGCCATCTTGGGCAAGGGCAGATGATTTCCATAGCATTTACTTCCTGGTTTCAATCTGCCCTTAGTTTAGACATGCAAGCAGGAGGGTATGCTTAGCTGAGAAAACCCCTCACTTAGCTGAGAAAACCTCTCCTTCCCTCCTGAAGACTCCTGAGACGTATGACATCATTTGCCTAGGCATGGAAACTAGGAAGTAACTGAAGAAATGTAAAAGGTTTAAAACAAATACATATTATATACTTAAGGATTAAAAATAGTCAATGTTGATTGAGAGAGTGAAGTTCCACTTTAACTATAATGATGGGCCCACTGGCTACATATATTTACCTTTTCTTCCCTTCCCTATTGCTTCATTTAGCTTTAGGGTGAGGAAAGCTGCCTTAACATTTGGATATGGGAGACTGTGTGACTTGTCGTACCCCTGCCCCTCCATTAGCTTGAGACGGTTCTGCCTTCCTACTACATAGCTCTGCATTCTGAAACAATAGAATCAATACAATAAAAGAAACTAAGCTAATCGGAATTCAGATTGATTAAATTGGTTTCCTGCACTTAGCTGTCCAGGTTGGTTCTTTGCACACATTTATTAAATAAACTTCTAGCTCCAGGAGCATGATAGTGGATCTTCTCAGTGTAGTTCTGCCCCAGTGTGGCCTTCTTTTGGATGGGGAAGGGTGTTATTCCATATAGCATTCCCACCCACTTGCTATTATTGTATTGCTTTAGTAGCCCCCAGGATTGTTTTGCTTTTTATGTGTTAAATTATTCTTATTTTCAGCAGAATTGGAGCTGAAGAATCATGTTCACAAGGCTGAGACATTCAGCAGCGTGCCGGCCCCGCCGCAAATGCCTCTTCCTGAAATCCCCCAGCAATGGCTGGTGAGTATTCCGCTGATTCATGGTCAGGCCAAGCATTTCAGGGCATATTAACGTGCTTTATGTAAATAATCGTTCAACTCCTGCAAGCCATGCAATGCCCATGGGATAGATCGAGTGGAGACAATAACACGGAGTATGGAGTCTTGTCCATACAGCTTAGTACAATATCTCTCCTCTCAACTTTTTCTTGGAAAGCGAAAGTAACGTGAAACTGTTCCAATGTTCACTGAATAGTGAGCCAGTCAAGGCTGAGCCAGGCTCAGCAAGAGGGTGGGAGACGCACAATGTGCAGCACAATATTTTATTAACTGATTTCATCTTTGGCACACAAGCTTGGCAGCTTGTTCTCTTATTCTTTTATCGTAATTTATTTTGTGTGTGCTTGCCCTAATGAGTGGGATAATGGCTAAAAGAAAAGTTACTTTATAGACTGCGTTGGTAGTGGCTGAAGTGGTACCCCTTCACACACACATGTAAAACAAAGTTTATCTATTTGGGAAAAAGTCATGGGTACCCAAAACTGTTAACTGTAACCTATTATAAGCAATAAGAAGAAACTCTGTGTTTCTGTTTTGCAACATTTATGGGTGTGTGTATATATATATATATATATATATATATATATATATATATATATATTTACACTCCCTTAGGAGCCAGGCACAAGTTAGTTTCACAGCCAAGTGCAAACACACTTTCATTCATTGTTGTCTCTAATGATCAGTCTAGTGGTTGTTTTTGTACTTTTAATATTGGAGAACTTGAGTAGGGATGGGGCAATTTAGTAGGATATTCCAGTAATAGAACTAATTATAGTTGAGGACAGAACTTCCTTATATTGCAGCCTTAAGCAAAGTCCCAAAGTCAGAGAGGGGTTAAACAGACAGTGCTCTTTCACACACGTTGACTGTAAAACACCAGAGGGGTAGCAAAGCATACAGAGTTCCAAGATCCCTCAGTGTCTGTACTCACAAGGCCCAAGGACAGATTAGTAGCCCCCTTCCAATCTTTCAAGCACTGCCCTCCAGTGATACCAGATAGATCTTTATCAGACAGCTCCCCTCAGTCAGCTTTCTGAAGAACCATGATCACCCTTTTACTTCTGGCCCTCAGGTCACCTGAGACACATCTGAGTCCAGATGGCAGCAGGTGCCTAGGAAGGCAGCGTGCCTTCCCCCCCAGGCTGGTGCAATCCTCTCCAGGAAAGTCCCAGGTTTCGGGATGCCCAAAGAATAAATACTCTCTCCCAGCATCCTTCAGGGCTGTATTCCCTAGGATTGTCTAGTGTGGCATTAATATTCATACTGTGTTCTGCATGAGTTCCACCTCTACATCCAGAACCTTCCTAGGTTGCTTGGACACAGAGGAAGCCAGAGCCAGTACTAGCAGCACTTGAACACACTGAGCAAGAATTACTAAATAATTACAGCTCTACTACTATACTATATTCTACTTATCCTAGCACCTACACTATAATTCCAAAAGTCTTGGGACGCCTGCCTTTACAGGCACATGAACTTTAATGGCATCCCAGTCTCCGACCATAGGGTTTAATATTGAGTTGGCCCACCCTTTGCAGCTATAACAGCTTCTACTCTTCTGAGAAGGCTGTCCGCAAGGTTTAGGAGTGTGTCTATGGGAATGTTTGACCATTCTTCCAGAAGCACATTTGTGAGGTCAGGCACTGATGTCAGACAAGAAGGCCTGGCTCACAGTCTCTGCTCTAATTCATCCCAAAGGTGTTCTATCAGGTTGAGGTCAGGACTCTGTGCAGGCCAGTCAAGTTCCTCCACCCCAAACTTGCTCATCCATATCTTTATGGACCTTGCTTAGTGCACTGGTGCGCAGTCATGTTGGAACAGGAAGGGGCCATCCCCAGACTGTTCCCACAAAGCTGAGAACATGAAATTGTCCAAAATGTCTTGGTATGCTGACACCTTAAGAGTTCCCTTCACTGGAACTAAGGGGCCAAGCCCAACCCCTATACAATATAATAACACTTACCGTTGACTGTGGAATATTTAGTAGCAAGGAAATTTGTACTTACTGCACAGGTGGCAACCTATCACGGCACCACACTTGAATTCACTAAGCTCCTGAGAGCGACCCAATCTTTCACAAATGTTTGTAGAAGCAGTCTACATGCCTAGGTGCTTGATTTTATACACCTGTGGCCATGGATGTGATTGGAGCACCTGAATCCAATAATTTGGAGGGGTGTCCAAATACTTTTGGCAATATAGTGTATCTAAGAGGGTGCTAAATATATATGCAATGATTTGCAAATCTCATGAACCCATAGTTTATTCACTATAGAAAACATATCTAATGTTTAAACTGAGAAAATGTACCATTGTAAGAAAATATTAAGGTCATTTTGAAATTGATGGCATCAACATGTCTCAAAAAAGTTGGGCCAATGACATGTTTACCACAGTGTAGCATCTTCTCTTCTTTTAACTACATTCTGTAAGCAATTGGGAACTGAGGAGACCAGTTGATAGAAATTTTTTTGGAGAGGAATGTCTCATTCTTGCCTGATATAAGATCTTAATTGTTCAACAGTCCTGGGTCTTTTGTCATATTTTCATGTCAAGATGCACCAAATAGTTTCAATTGATTAAAGGTCTGGACTGCAGGCAGGCCAGTTAAGCACCTGGACTCTTTTACTACAAAGCTATGCTGTTATCATAGATGCAGTAGGTGTTTTAATATTGTCCTGCTGAAATATGGAAGGCTTTCCCTGAAAAAAACGTCATCTGAACAGGAGCATAAGCTGCTCTAAAAGCTGGATATATCTTTCAGCACTGATGGTGCCTTTCTCAGATGTGCAAGCTGCCCATTCCATACAAGTTGAGGCTTTTGAACTGAGCTCTGATAACAAGTTGGGAGGTCCCTCTCTCCTCTTTAGTCCGGAGGACATGGCACCCATGGTTGTCAAAAAGAATGTCATATTTTGATTTGTCTGACCATAGAACAGTTTTCCACTTTGCAACAGACCATTTTAGGTGAGCTTTGGCCCAGAGAAGACAGGTGTTTCTAGATCATGTTCAGATATGGCTTCTTCTTTGCATGATAAAGCTTTGCCTTGCATTTTGAACGGTGTTCATAGACAGGGATTTCTGGAAGAATTCCTGAGCCCATGCGGTGATGTCCATCATAGAATCATGTCTGTTTTTAATGCTGTATCATCTGAGGGCCTGGAGATCAAGGGCATCCATTCTTGCATATTGGGCTTGTCTCCAGATTCTCTGAACAACTGAACTTTTAATTTTTCCATCAGCTCATCCCTCACAGTTATTGCTTTTTGTACCACTTACCGCAGCTTTAGATTGTAAGCCCTTATGAGCAGGGCCGCCTTAACCCTCTTGTATTTCATTGTTTTGTAACTCTACTGTCTGTCATTATATTTTAAAGCGCTGTGTAAATAGTTGACGCTATATGAATCCTGTATTATAATAATAATTGTACGTGGAGGAACAATATTTAGAAATTTTGAAGTTTTTAGATGCAGCTTTTCTCAGTGGTGAATTTCTGCTCATCTTTACTTCTGAGATACTCTGACTCTCTAAGATGCTCTTTTTATGTCCTGTCATGTTACTAACCTGTTGCCAATTAACCTAATTAGTTGCAAATGTTCTGTCACTTCTTCCTTGTTTAGTACCACTTACTTTGCCGGCTTTTTCAATATATTATATTAGACTGCATGTGTTTGCCATCTTTTTGTTATGCTGTCCCAACTATTTTGAGACGTGTTGCTGCCATCAATTTCAAAATTTACTTATTTATTTGTTAAAATGGTACATTTTCTCAGTTTAAACATTTGATATGTTTTCTATTGTGAATAACATATGGGTTTATGATATTCGCAAATCATTGCATTATGTTTTCGTGTAAATTTTACACAGCATCCCTATTTTTTTGGAATTAGGGTTTTATGAACATTAGTAAAACAACTGGTATAGAGTTGACCCAAAATCATTATAGTTTCCCTTCAAAGGAAACTTGCACAACAGTAATATGGAACTGCCGCTGTTGATCTTCTAAAAAAAAATCTGGCTGCCAATATAGATCCCTGGCATTGAAACACCTTACAGGCAAATTTTTATAATTTGTTTCTGCTATCCTCAGTCTTTTATTTGGTAACCTGCTGTTGCCTTTTCCCATGATGAAAATTCCCATGGGTATGTTCTTTACAGAACTGAAGCAAATCTGCTTGCAGCATCCATGTCTGTGCGGTCTGAGATTCCTGTGTTAGTGACAGCCAGTAAAATGGAAGGTGTGATCCAGGGATTCACTCAAGGCTGCTGACGGCAAACATCAGCCAGCCAAATGGGCATTCATTTCTGGATGAAGGATAGAAGAAACATGGTACGGCGGTTGCTGATGACGAAAAAGGGATTTTACTTGACCTTTCATTTATTGGAGTGAGATCTTGAAACGTATTTTTTTTTGGAAAGTACCAAAGCAGGTGCAGCTTTTCTTTTACATTTTAATCCAGCTATACAGCTGTTAAAGTGTTACTAAACCCACAACAGTAAAATAAGTCTGTATATGCAGTAAAGCATGCTTGTTATACTCACTGTGGAACTTAGGGGTTAATATTCTTCATTTTGTAAAAAGGATGTTTGATCCTGTCTTCTCTGATCCCCCCCTTCCACGTTTCCCCATTTCATCTCCTGATAGAACAAAGCCTTGTGGACAATCTGCACATACTCAGTTTGCTGTGTGCTGCTAGAGAGTTTTTTCTTTTTTCTTGGGAGGGTGCATGTGATCAGCACAGGGCCAATCAGTCCAGACCGAGGGTCCGGGTTATGCAATCTCACAGGGCAGCGAGAAGAGAATGAAAACTCCTCCTACAAGCTTTAACCAGTGCTCAGCTGGACACTGATAGAAGTCACAAGACTGCTCTAATTGCTGATGAGAAAAGATATTTAGTTTATATTTACTCAAATAATTGCATTTCCATGTTGTGTGTGCTGTGGAAGACCAGATATAGT